CTACTATTGGAATAATTTAAAAACAAAAACAGACTGTTTTTCTGCTCCCATCATTTTCCCCAAAATCTATTTAAAATTTTGCATACCTTACAATGTCTTTTCAAGAAGAAAAAGCAAAATATGTAATAACAAAAAGGAAAAAGGACAAAACAGAACTAAAAGAAAAAAAATGCCTGTTACAGAGTTTAATTTTATACCTATAAAAACATTCTTAATTTTTAGTCTTCTTGCTTGAATCTGAGGTTGCATCAAGACACTACATTACAAAGAGGTCAAAACGCAGTTTTCAATGCATTACTTGACTTTAATGAATATAAAACTATGCAACAAACAGAAATGTGCTCTGGCTCATATCTAAGCTCTGGTCCTGTCCTGCAAGCTGCAGCTGGACCCTTCTCTCCTCTCTTCGCCTTTACTGCTTCCTGTCGCAGAGTGATGACGTGCCCTTCTCCGGGTTTACGGATAGCGGCTAATGAAGGGAACATGCCGCAGGGAAAGCTGCAGGAACAGGAGTAATATTTCACTTTAAGTTCGGACATATCGCTTTCAAAATGACCAACAGAACATCTTACTTTTATGACCCGGATGTGGGCAACTTTCATTACGGTAAGTTTGCTTTTTGTTTGGAGAGAAGAGATGCTAATGTTAGCTTAGCCACATGCTAGTTGCATTTATAACTGATTAACTCAGTAAAAGATTATTTAAAATCGTAGCGTAATACACGTGTGTATTCCTTTGCGTTGCTCTTTAGCTGGTTGTTTTTGTATTTAATGCGACGTTTATGGACTTAAATTATTCAGTCTTTGACGTTTTGTTGTTGTTTGTGTTGTTGGGGGTTGTGAACATTTGTTTTAATTTGTTTGAACTTTTTGATGCCTAAATAAACAAAACAAAATAAAAACAGATCATTGCTCACAATGTGGCGCAGAGCTGATGTGCCTTTATTACTGAGTTTTATTAATTTGTTGGGAGAATTGTGTTATTTATGTTTAGATACATGATGAACCTGACAGACAAAACTAGTAATAATAAACTAGTTTCATATATTTTCATGAAATTTTTAAACGCATCTCGGTTAAAATGCTTATTTACTCTGAAATCAGAAAAAAGCTGATCTTAAAGTATTTACTATAAACACAAAGA